TAACAGAGAATAAACTGCCCAAATACCCTTAAACAAAGGAAAAGTACGTCTTTTATGAACGCATAGAGCCTTTACTACATGAAAATGAAAATTAATAAATACACTGTGTACAGTAATTTACCTGATAAGACAGACCTCAGAAAAATACTTTATGAGAGCTTTTATACTTTTATAAAGCTGTCTGTAATGAAAACTAATTAACTAAGGATTTTTCTGCCCTGCCAGGGTGTGGCCGAGTTATCCGGAGTGCCGGGTTATCGAGAGCCGAGTTTTCGAGGTTTTACTGTATATGAATATTAGCAGTATTGTAACAAGCTTTATATATATACGTAATGCCGTATATATGTCTATATACGGTTCTGACTATATATGTGAAGCGATTAAAACATTAGCTTATCGCTCTAGGTGATTCGAGATTTCATTCTGATAGCTGAAAAACATTAGAGACAAGAATTTTTTATTGATGGTTTGTCCAGATTAGAGATCATAACTTCCCTTGATTCGTCAGAATAATTTCAAAATTTGGCAAAAATGTTTTAAAGTTTCCGAATTGGGTCTTACTCAATAAAACGATCGATTTTTGTGTCATATATTAAAACAGACTAAAGAATAGGTGACAGCATTTTGATATTGCTCAGAGTACTGTATACAATATCAAATCTTTCAATTTATTACTATTATTAGTAAAATAAAAAACGTAATCTCTGAATCAAATCTTCGGGAGTTGACAAGCTTAGTCTGAATATGTCAGGCCCCGTCCCTTATCATCTGATCTTCCTATAGTGAAAACTGGCCGGCTCACGATGGTTTTAAAAATAAAGACTCACTTAGAGTTTTAAAAATTTGTTCACAGGGAGGAACGAATTTTAAAAATTTATATGTACTGACGTTGATATTTACATTGCTGATTTTTCGTTTAATATTGTCGGTCGAATGTCATAAATATCGCTATAAAGAACAGACTAAATTAATTTAACAAGAAAAAAATTCATCTTTCATCTCGTGGTTCATTTTAGATACGAGTCTAAGAAAAACTACAATTCTTGATATTTTAAATATTAAGGCGTATTTTTAAAATTATTATTTTACTAGATCTAATGTTTACCAATGACATCTAGAATAATTATGTATCTCGAGTGATTATAATTTATTAATATTTCATCTAATAAAAAAATTCTATATACAGAATTTTGAGCGTTTAATAAAAATAAAATATATGCTATGAAATAATTTCTGAATATAAAATTAGAAGAAGGAACCATGGATGATAATAAGCCATTTCCAATTCTTAAAACAATTTGGTTTAAGTTTTAAATATTCTTCATTTGATGTTTTCGTAATTTTTTGATAACCGTTGCAATCTCTGAAGATGGGCTTCAGCTAATATGTTGTTTATAATAGTATATTCGGAATTCTGACAAGTTTCAGGAGACACTTCGGCTATTGCTCCATTTAATTTATTATTTTCTGCATCGCTCGTGATTGCGCCCATGTACTCGTACTCATCTTCGTCTTCTGGAATTGCAGAACAAACAAAGCGATTTACTTGATCAGTAACATTGGCACGACTAGTAGTGCAAAGCGATAAATGACTTTCTGTTCTTTCGAACACTGTCTTTGCTTTCTGTATTTCACTTGTTTCATCACATTTTTCTGTATTCTCCTTATCGTCTTCTGTTTCTTTGTCTTTTCTACTAAAATATTTTTTTAGCATTTCCATTTTTTAGTATTTCACGTATTATTGATTTACTTCCTAATTACAAAGTGTAACTTTTGACAGAAGACGACAATAGAAATTATTAAATAATAATAAAAGCCCTTATAAAAATAACCATTTATTACGCAACACGTTACTTTTATTATTAATTTAAAAAAACTTAACTAAAGAAGTAA